ACTTTTATTGTCATCTTTTATCCTTAAGTTCAGACTACATTGGATTTATTGGCAATAGGTCTTGCCAGTGAATGGCACTTTCATTTTTGTTTCGCATACTTTATTATCATGGAATAAGTTATATCCATACCAAATTTCATTTATTTATATTCAGTATTTTTTGAGATATTTGGGAAAATGTCTTCCATCTCTTAATTTTGTCCACCGGTGTATTTTAATAAACAATTTACTTTCAGCAATTATAAATATTATTTTATTATTTAACAACTATTGAATGAATCCGTTGGAATTACATAGAATAAAAACTTTATTACCAAATATAAAATGGTAAGATTTAAAATTTGTGGGAAATCAGTTGATACAACTAATTAAATGAGTTTCATTTTTTAATGATTATTTATTAGAATCCTTACAATCTGCTGCATTCAAATTTTGGACTTTGATGTAGCTGAAATAAAAGGGAATAGTAAAATTTGTATATTTTACTCATTATTAATTGTGCATAATTTGGTATATTTTACTCTTTATTATTTTGTGTTCAACGATATTTATTTTGCGCACTGTGCACAAGTTATCGGTTTCAAAAATCGAATTCATCTGATTATTGTAAAACTTGAAACGAATTATTTATGCGATTTGTATTGTAGTGACTTATTTATGTGTTAAGTTTATTTATGGAAAATTGTAAATGTTTTAGCTGAAATCTGAGAAAGTTATTCAAACTTATATTAATCGTATAGTTGAAGTAGAACCTTATATCAATGCAGTAGTTCAGGACAATTTTGATAACGCAATTATAGAGGCAAGAAGAGTGGATGATCTTATTGAATCAGGAGAATTTTTCATTGAACAGCTTTCAGAAGAAAAACCACTTCTTGGAGTACCATTTACTGTTAAATGTATTCTAGAAGTTAAAGGTAGGATATGATATATATTACATTCAGTTATACTCTTAGCAAATAGAATAGGCATTACAATTCACCACACCTTTCCCCTCTCCGCTATTGTATTTTAAGAAATAAAACTCCCACCTTTGATGATTCAGCAATCGTTAAGCTATATTTCAATAATTTTGAGAATAATTTTGTCACGAAATCACGTGATTTGTGACAAAACGCGAACCCTCAAATATATAACAAAATGTTTCCTCAACTCGAAACCTCATCGTAGTGCATTGTGGAAATTGTTTACTAGAATAACACATCTAGAATGAAGAGTTCGTTCACCAGGAGTTGTCACTTGGCTCCACTTTCTGGGACGCAGAGTTCATTTCAGCTCGGGGGAGTAAGAGGGAAAATATTTCCCCGCTTGAAATCAAGATAACCTCTAATGCGCGCAAAACCTCCACACGGTTTTTTATAGGTAGTCCAATCAGACCAGTATAACATACCTGCCAACTTTTAATCCCATCCATTATCATTTTTCCCAGTGGTATTAAAATGGAATTAAAACTTCAATTTTAAGCAAACAAATACGTTGTATATGAGCAAACTTTAGTTGACAACCATGACAGTAATGCATATTAATATATGTGCTTAATTTTTGTAAGAATAGTGGTGATCAAAATCAGTTAAAAAATAAGTTTATAAAAGAAAAAATAGTATATATTTACTACCACTTTAAATATGAAAACAAAATCTTCCGGAAAATCCGAAGAGTTGGCAGGTATGGTATAAAGGCAAACCAGTTTACGAAAGAGTCCTTTAATAGAAAATCTAGTAAAAATAAAAAAAGTAGTTGCAAATATCTGTCTAAAAATTTGTTTAATATTTGAATATGATTAGTTTGTCTTATTTACTTGTCTACCACTACAGATTCAATTCTCAAATATATATGACAAATTCCTCTCAGTCACTTTTAAAACAGAATTTGATTTCATGCGCTCAAACTGTTTTCTTTCTATATAGTCTGCGCAGATTACTTAGAAGAAACCGTGTGGAGGCTTTCTGATGTAGAAGGTGATAGCCAAACACAAACAGTGAATTTTTTTCAGTCACTTACTTCGCTCTATCATCAGCTATTATACCTTTCGTTATTCTAGCTAATTTATATTCAAAAACTTTTTCCCAGCAAAATATCTCGAAAAGAACAAACTATTCAATAAAAAGAGAGAAATATCAACAAGTTTATGAAATAAAATGCACATGTTCAAAATATGTACATGAAGATTGCGAAATAAATATTTTTGTCATACGATCGCCAAATAGCAGCCTTTTTCACATCCTTCTCTTCAAAATAGCGAAATTGTATCACCCGATACCACGTGATGAAGGCGGAGTCAAGTGCCAACTCCTGGTGAACGAACTATACACCATCCGAAATAAAGTGACGAATTCAGCTGATCGGCAGCATGGTGGTCAAGGATTCAGCCTCATATCTGAAATATACCGGGTTTGAATTTCGCTTCTGCCATATCTGTATTTCATCTCTCTGTTTCCTGCATTATTGATCCACCCATAAGGTGCCCACCTTTTTTGAGAAAAAAAATGGAATGACGAAATATGTCTTTATTTATGGCTAGAGCCCCTGAATTAGACAGGCCGACTTATCATTTATTGTTGGAGCAAAGAGCTAACATAAGCACATCGAATAAATATTTTCAAGTTGTAGTTTATTAATTGTAATTCTTGGTTTCTTAAGTTCGATTTAGTAGATTTTAAAACACCACTATTTCTAAACAATGCGTAGTCTAATATAATTCACCACTTTACAGTAATTATAACATGCTTTACATTTTTAAAAGCAAGCAAATATTGTCAACTATTTGCAAAATTTACTTTGTAGTTATTTACCGTTTTTTAAATTATTTTGGCGTGTCCGCAGCAGTTGGCATCTCTGTAACATAACGAATACTAACATAACGTTAACTTGCGAACTTGTTTGCTCCAATATTGCTTGATAGGTCAGCTCTGATAGTATAGGAGCCTTATTTATGGCGAAATTCATTTCCTCGGAGATGTGACGATAATTATTTCGTGACTTTGACGAAATACTTGCTCGGAGCATAAACCAGGAAAAAGTTTTGTTAACACTAGATTTACGGACGTTTCTTATATACCTATCTCTACGAACACGCGTCAATTTGACGTATGAAAGGATAAATATAATTGTGATTCTTAATTTAATAAATTCAATTCAGTAGATTTTTATCCACCACTATTTCTAAATAATTCGTAGGCTTATATTATTTACCTCCTAATGAA